AAAATATAATTGCTAGGACTTTTTGATAGAAGTGGCAACGCCGCAATGCTGAAAATATTTTAGATCGATAGAACAGGTAAGGAAATGTGAGAGTTGAAATTTTCAGAAAAATCATGCTTTGCGTTTTCCAAAAACGCCTAAACTACCATCGACCGTGAGTCACGCTGTATACAGTGTCACTGTTTTTTGAGTTTGAAAGCCATGGATTTTTGGAATTTCTTCCTGACGTTTCGCTGGCGCGAGTGGCTAGCTTCTTCAGAAGTTTAACTATCATGGCTTGCTGTCCGATGACAGTTAAACCTCTGAAGAAGCTAGACTCGCGCCAGCGAAACGTCAGGAAGAAATTCCAGAAATCCTTGGCTTTCAAACTTGAAAAACAGTGACACTGAAAACCTCAGCCGCGAAAGTCTAAACCATTTTGTGGTATATTTGCCTAAAGTGGGTCAGAAAGACCCACACCCTAAATCGGTAGAGTAGAGTAGAGTAGACCAATCAGCCTTACATCCTTCCTGTTGAAAGGAATTGAGAGGATACCGGATGGACACATCAGGAGGGTGGCATTAGTTAACCCTGTAAATAGTTTTTAACTGTTGGGTAATAAAGGCTATTATTATTATTATTATGAGCATCATCCCCCCTGAATAACCACCAGTATGATTATCAAACCGGCAAATCGACAGATTTAGTATTAAACAACTTTGTATGTAGATAAAATCTCCCAATCCCTTGATGACAAGGAGATTGCGGTTGCTGTATTTCTCGATATTGAAGAGCATTTGACAATGCATTACCTAAATCTTTAGGATCCTCTGGCTAGGAAAGGGATAGAATCGACCATACCTGGCTGGATCTATGCCATAATGGTAAACAGAACTGCAACTACGACTCTTCAAGGTGAGGCCATTAGGTTCAGGGTCACCCCTCAAGGTGGGGTACTATCTTCCCTTCTGTGGTCGCTCGTGTTGGATAGTCTGCTTGATGCCCTAGATAGAAGAAAAGTAGTTCTGCAAGCTTATGCAGATGACCTTGTCATCTTGGCAAGGTCCACGTCGGGAAGGGTAGCTTGTAATATCCTCCAAAGCGCGTTGGACGTTGTTCACAGTTGGTGCCTGAGGGAGCAGATGCCTGTCGACCCCAGCAAAACTAATAATCCCCTTCACCAGTAGCAGAAAATTGGACGATGCAACGCCACTTTATGAGGTTATTCCATTTGGAACGGAGGTGAAATATATTGGCATTGTTGTTGATAAAAAACTCACCTGGAACGCTCATTTGGAAAAAGTTTTACACAAAGCCAGACCTTCCTATGGACATGTTGAAGGATTTGTGGTAAAAGTTGGGCTTTAGGTCCCAAACAAGTCCATTGGATTTATGTGATGATTGTCAGACCAATGATCACTTACGATGCAATTGCCTGGTGTCCGAAGGCTTTACAAAAAACGGACCAGACGAAGCTCTCTGGCATACAGGGACAGGCTTGTCTGGCTATCAGTGGTGCCATCAGTACCTGCCTAGGAACCTATGCGACTGTATTTCAAGCAGAAATTTACGCTATTGAATTGTGTGCGGAGAGATTGGAAGAATCCAACCTCATACACAAGTCAATAAAAATATTCTCGGACAGTCAGGCGGCGTTGGAAGCTCTTGGCTCCTACCGAGCAACTTATAAATTGGTAGCAAATTGCCAAAAAACGACTCTCCTCGATAGGAAGACTCAACAGATTGTCTCTGGTCTGGATTCCTGGCCATGCTGGCCTGGAAGGTAATGGGGCTGCTGATCCCTTGCAAAGGAGGGTGCTGCAAGCAGCTTCATCGGACCAGAACCTGTTATTGGCATCGCTTTAGGCTTCGCCAAATAAAGATTAAACACCTGGATGGCAAGAAGATTTATGGACTCCTGGCAGAATATTCCAGGATTTTCTCACTCCAAGGCGTTTATTCACCATTTGAAGGTTGATACCAAACGGTTATTGGACTACAGTCTAACATGCCTTCTTACAGGTCACTGTCATTTGAATCATGATATGTAGAGACTCGGACTGTTGGAAGACAGTGCATGTCGCCTCTGTTTGGAAATTGATGAAACAGCAGAGCACACACTTTGTGCCTACCCTGTTGAAGACCGAATCAGGTTCTTTGAGTTCGGCAGATCCGTACTCTCACCATCTGACCTGAAAGACCACTCACCATACAAACTAATCGGATCGCTGAAAAGCTGGATTTATTCGGCCGATTGTGAATAGGTGTGAGCCACAATAAACCCTTGCGAGTTGCGGTGGAGGGTCGAGCAGACCTACTCATTTTGAACCTAACCTAACTAGGAGATAGGTAAGGGTACACCAAAAATTAGATGGCCTATTCGACCCTCAACTGCAGCCTGCAAGGTTCATTGAATCTCACACCTATTCATACTTGGCCAAATAAATCCAGCTTCCTCCATGAAACCGATTACTTTTTTTTTGGAGAGTGATCTTCGGTAGAACTGGTAAGAGTGAGACTGCAGTATGTGCCTAATTTTGCTTGTTTGTCAAAGGTTGACAGACCATGATATATTTTCTTCAATCTAGTGAGGACCTGATCGCGGGTCAGTCTCCAACTACCTTCATCGGTTAGGTAAATAAGCAAATGTGTGGTTTGGGAAGAAGGTCTACTGTGACACATTTCAGGGAGACACTCCCTTGATCCTTTCAGCCATCCAAGCAGTAATGAAAAGCTCTGGAACGTACCTGTGGACAATCTTCTGGAAAATCATGGCTCACTGCAGAGATTCCATTTGATTAGTTGGTATTGAGGTTGTCAGATGTTGAAGATCCCCCCTTGATATCTGCAAAAACTACCCAGATGAGAATATCTATCCCTCAGCTGTATGTGCTACAAACTGAGCTATTTCACCTCTGATATATGTAAATCATCGTTTGAGGATAATCATTATATACGGGGTGTTCCATTTGAAAAATCAAAGTAGCCGCTACTTTATAGTAGAAGCGACAACGCCGCTTCGTCTAAAATATTTTAGGCGTGTAGGTCATATTGACTTATGCATACTGTGAAATTTTCAGGTGGATCCGTTGAATAGTTTGCCAGAAACGGCTAATTAACGCTCATCATGAAAAGCCCTGTACTACTATATTGTCTTGAGACAATAAAATAAATTTTGATTTGAATTTATCCTGTATCTTAACAAGGGATGCTCCAATGAAGTTTCTTTATATGAAAGATCTTATCTTTTTTACGATGAGGAATCAGCTCCTTAAATGTTTTACACTTATTCAGTTACACCCTGTATAAGGCTAATATTTAAATCTGTTTTTCCGTTAATCAGCTGTCGCCCCCATGCGAACGACAACTCTCAGAAGTTGAGAAACTTGTGCGAGGTCTTACCTTTTAACGTGCGATTCCTAACGTAATCAACCATTGTTACTTTACTGTATAAGTTTGAAAATGGCACCCAGTCGACATCTTGAAAGTTTCATCTGTCAATTTCACTTCAAAATAAAGTATTCATGCATTAATTTCATTATCCCAAATTTAATTTTTTTGAGTTGACCCGTTCAAAAAATAAAGAAATGCACTGTATGATACTTCCTAAAATAAAGATGGAAGTCACTGTCAGTAATTTTTGGGAAATGGGTAAGGGTTTTACTTTTGTTTCTGTTTCTCCTTACAAATACAGTGTGTGTCACTGAAAACAAAACAGATTGAATATATTAAT